TCAAACGTTTGGGCTCCAAGATGGCGGACGAGTCAGCTCCCCTTTATCTAGTAGCTCTAATTGAAACGGTTCTATCAGCATGATCCTGTGATTGGTGATACGCAGGTTACGCTATGCAATTTACGCTTCATGTGAAAGCACCCTTACACTCAATTTGATGGTTATTTCGGACCGTCAACGTATGATTGAGTGTATTTCTTCATAAGGGTCGGCACTAATAAGACAGCTATAAATTGTTAAAATCTGTCAGTTGTGGGATTAGGATACCTATCGTATACGGGAGCGGCGCAGACTGACCGAGCATGGGTAGAGACGTAATAGTGCGCGAAATTTGAAATGTGATGCACCGCGTTTATATCCGCCAAATATCCACATTTGGACCAGCTCAAGGCCTTCACACATAAAATTCCGTAAAGGCCTTTACACATAAAATTCCGTAAGGACGTAAAACGTAAGCATAAGAAAATCGACCAATCACAGTCGAGAACGTAAGGCAATGACGCAAGCAGTAGCAAATCCAACCTGTTGATTTTCTTACGCTTACGTTTTACGTCCTTACGGAATTTTATGTGTGAAGGCCTTCACTCTGATTACGGAGAGATCGGTCTCCACAAACGAATGACTCACAAACCTTTTTAATTGCACTACAAACGTCTACATACGAAATACAAACGATTGCATAGAGGAGTTATTTAAAAATACGTTCTGTCGGCGTCAAATATATACGAATCTGAATACCGGCCCTAAGCATCATGTGGACACGGGCCTGCAGGGAGCAGCCATGAAGCCAGCCGGTCGCGCCGCCGCGGCGTCGGCGTCCATTGTCCACACTTCATAGCCAGGCGATCGTTGGCGAGGATTCGGTTTACGGTGTTAGCGTGAGGTGCGATCTGCTTCGAGAGGTGACGAAAATGGCGATGGCGACGAGCCAAGTTAAGGGCAGCGGCTGGCCACGGAGGGCGAGCAACAGTTCGTTCGAGGGGAAGGTGGTGCAGAATCAGTCGGTCACCATCAACAGAACCGTCAATTTGTAAGTGGCGCGACGCGACGCGACGCGCGAGCCAGAATTTAATCGTAGGCTTAATTTTAATTGTGTCTCTGACCGCCTCTCTTCTGTAGACGAGCCACGGCCACGACGCCGGTCACGGCGGACGCGCGCTAGCAAATCCAAGTATCACGTCCTAACAGAGAAAAATTGAGAGAAGGGAACGACACTCCCTTTTCCTCTCCCCGTCGCGATCAACGATCGGCCGTTTGTCCCTTTTCTCCCTCCCGAGACCCTCGGAATTTTAAGCAACTCGTATCCGCCGTGTCCTTCAACGAAGGCGCTTGTCCTCAACGTCCGCTGAGATAGGAATTGTACAGTGAGAATGGAGAGGGGACATGTGGCACTAAGACCAAACTGGAGCCGGCAATGTTGCTTGTAAAAGCAAAAAAATGGCTACAAAATTTGTCCATTTAAACTCACTGTAAGGGGCCACCTTTTCGGAGCAAAGGCGCGTAAGGCTGAGAAATTCATGTTACGCTTGCAAAAACAGTTCCTTCGTTCTCGTCGGGCAATCCGGCCGGTGTTCGCGGTCACTTCTTAATTCAAGGTCGTCTCGAGGAACGTCTTGAGACGCTAATTACGGCTCCGTTGTGATTGCTTTACAAATAGCATAAGTTCGCGCTCGAGACGGACTCGGATGTAAGAGCCGAGCCACTTGCGTCGGCGATTCTGTCACTTGCGCCGCTCCGATTCCCCGTCCACGACGATACCGATTTGCTTAAGATTCCGGAACGTAGGCGTCCACGGCGTCGCGCAGCGTCTCCCCCCCCCTTCCCCCCCGAGCATCGTTTCCTCCTTGCAGTGTCGCAAGCCGATTTCCCCTCAGTTGTCTCCCCTCCCGCTAGTCTGGGGAATCGGTTGTTGTCGATTCACGACGTACGTGCAAGGAGGCTCCCACTTTCTTTTTTCCGTTCTTTTTTTAATTGTTAAAAGTGTGCGGTTTGTACCTTAAGATCTCGCACGCCGCAGATGAAACGCGCGAGTCCCGACAAGGCTGTATATTATTTTCTAAGTTTGTGTACTGCTCGCCAGGAGAGCCCCGTGTACGTTTTTGCTCATGATTTCACTCTTCCATCTCATGTAAGGATACGCTGTACCTGTATGTATTATATGTATACGTACGTACTGCATTGTACGAGGCCACAATTATATATTTATAATACACCTAGTTGTACCACGTTTTAAGATAGTGTCTAATATAATGCAAAATTATTGCGGCTATTCTGGTTTGCTGTGAGAAGGCCCAAAGTCTTCTTAAAGCAAACGCTGCGTTGTCACACGAGATTTATGTAACGTTACATGATCATGTAGACGATTATCCGTGTACGATTACACGTGTGCATCCGTAACGTTACACTCGCAGCATTTTCTGCCGCAAGCCAAGGTGTCGCAGAATATAACATTTATATATGTTCAATGTATACTCGGCACTATGCAGACCTTTGCATGTGTTCATCAGATATTACTGGCTGATCCTCCTACTGTATTCTTGAAGGCTCTCGATATTATCTCTTCCAAGCTTACACACCGTTGCAACGCGTGCTATTATACGACTGATATACGTCGAGTCACGCTTATCGGGATGATACACAGTGTATTCGAAAAGTTCCAGGACTAGTCGCACACAGATCAACCCACACAGCACCGAAGCTTTCAGAAACATTGCAACATTGCAACAATGTTTTTCCGAAATGTTTCTGAAAGCTTTGGTGCTGTATGGGAAACAACGCCATGTATTGACTCCTCTTTAATATCAAGCTTCTACATAGTCTCCCGCCAATTCGATACAACGCTTAGAACGAGTCTTCAGGCCCATCGTCGCCTTCTGGAACGCCTCCACTGGAATTCAGTTCCTTTGTCACCGCCTTTTCAATCGCCTCTACTGACTCATATCGGTGTCCCTTCATCTTCAATTTTAGCTTGGGGAAACAAAAAATAGTCTGGGGGGGGGGGACAGGACAGGTGAGTTTTGGAACGACTTTTAAAACGAATGCGGCGTATGAGGCCAAAAGTGTTGGAGAGCGGAGAGTGGTGGCTGTTGCACGACAATGCACCGGCTCACAAGTCCACTATTGTACAGGAGTTTTTGATGAAAAGGCAAGTTGTAAGCCACCCTGCGTACTCACCTGATCTGTCCTCCCCCCCCAGACTATTTTTCGTTTTCCAAGCTAAAATTGAAGATGAAGGGACACCGATATGAGTCAGTAGAGGCGATTGACAAAGGAACTGAATTCCAGTGGAGGCGTTCCAGAAGGCGATAATGGTCCTGAAGACTCGTTCTAAGCGTTGTATCGAATTGGCGGGAAGCTTGATATTAAAGAGGGGTCAATACATGGCGTTGTTTAATCTGTGTGCGACCAGTCCTGGAACTTTTTGAATACACTGTGCATTTAAAGGAGGGGATTTTAAGTACCTTACGAGACTGTCACAATTAGTAATATATAAGTATGACAAGTAATAGAGGTCTAAGAATATGATGAGATATTTGTATTATTTATTGACTACTTGCTGAAACACTCTTGTGCAGATGCACGATTGTAATGTCACAAACAACAAAATTACGTTTGCCCGTTGTTTATATTTAATTTGATTATAGGGTTCATGTGAATGCAAAACTTAAATTATGTGTTGAGACGTTTTATACGTGCGTGTGTAAAGAGCTGAACGCAGGGCGATATTTTTTATGACAAATAAGCCATCCTTATACATGGAATACGATATTAAACGTATATTACGTTGCAGTATTTTGTTCTGTGTTTATACTTTTAGACTGCATACAATCGGAAACACTGTTGTTAAACAGTGTGAGAAAAAGAGTAGAGCGAAGATTGGGAACGTTCGTTTTGTTAAAATGCTGAATATAAAGATTACAGGCTTTTTTTTATTGCAAAATTTTATGTATGCTCTGATGTACGCTCATTAGCAGAGATATTCGTTAGCCATAAATAGCTCTTTGATAATGAAGTAACTCTTTTTATAATTTAACTGTCGGTACGTCTGTCGAGACGTCGTCTATCGTTTGAATTACAAAAAGAGACAAATGCTGTTAACATTGAAATACGAAGAAAGCGAGGAAAAATTTAAATTATTACACTGTGCATACCTTACATAGTTTCTGTGAACATTGTAATGTCGCATCAAGCTGTATTTGAAGAGACTGGATTTAATTACTGATGGTTGAAGTTGAGCGTATACATAGCCTAACAAAAGAATACAACTCATTTATCATAGATATCCTTTGACAAACTATACGTTTGGAACAAAAGAGCCACTCTTCGAGAAAGATCCATCAGTACCAGCAAGGTTTCAGCGCATGAGAGACGAATTCGACAAGATCGGCATGCGGAGAAGCGTAGAAGGTGTCCTACTGGTGCACGAGCATGGACTGCCGCACGTTCTTCTTCTGCAACTCGGCACGACATTCTTCAAATTGTAAGTTACGAGAGTTCGGCAAGGTGTGTGCGCGGCTTAACGACACTGGATACATTTCCCTCTTGTTGTTCCAGACCCGGCGGCGAACTCAACACAGGAGAAGATGAGGTAGAGGGCCTAAAACGGCTCCTTACAGAGGTAACCAACGCCTTACGCTGCCTTACACAAGGCTGGCTAGGAGTGCTCTTTTATATATCGTTAGATTGTAACATTGTCTTTTATAAATATCATCATCATTGTAAAAACCCAGCAAACGTTTGTAGAACTTATGTAACCGGGCCTGTAGCTCCACATAGGGGCTTGTTCTTTTATTCTTATAATATTTTGTACTTTTGGCGTGTGCTGCATGCCCGGACACTTCGATGTTGAAAGATATCGCACGTTATTGTATTCTGGTTGGCTAAGAACATTGTTCTTATTTCGCTGGTGTATATGTTATATCACGGAGAGAAACGTAGAAGAGACAAGATAAAACGCAACAATGTAAAATGCTGGCAAGAAGACTGTATATAAACGTCGCGGATTTTTTAAATTTACGAGCTCGGAGAGTACCCGACCACGTCGAGTAGGGTTTAGAATTCTATTGTAAGGGAGAGACGTCTCTGATCGGCACCAATATGTAGGCCTACGAATTCACTAGCAATTGTCAGATCGCAGGACAATAAACTTGAGATTTGTAATCTCCATTCTTGACTATTGGTACACGTATGACAGTTTCACTTAATTAATTAAGTATTCACATTAACACTATACGAATGTCATAGGTGGAAGAAAACGTACATATGTTGTTGAATATCCGTATCAGCTTTCGGTTTTCAAGTGACTTGTCGCTATATGTCGATCGCACCGATTAACTCGAATATTGTTAGAATTGATGCCACTAGGTGGACCGCCGTAAATGTCTCGAGATGTAATCAATATTGTGCAACCATGTTCTTAGTGGACTGACAGAGGAAGAATGTATTTTATTCTCTCATAGTTTACTCGAAGCTCAATATAGTACAATGTTAGACAGCAAAATGGGATTGCTTTCTAGACTTTCGGCCGGCAGGACGGGGTGAAGCAGGAGTGGGTCATAGAGGACACGATTGGAAACTGGTGGCGTCCGAACTTCGAGCCACCTCAGTATCCATACGTACCGCCACACATCACGAAACCGAAGGAGCACAAGAGATTGTTTCTCGTACAGCTGCAAGAGAAAGGTATAACGACACGTCGTAAAACTCTCATTTCTAATTTCGCAAGTGCTCACTCGTTATTTTTTTTGTATCCAGCTCTCTTTGCTGTACCGAAGAATTACAAGTTAGTCGCTGCACCGTTATTCGAATTATATGACAATTCGCAAGGTTACGGCCCCATAATCTCGTCTTTGCCACAATCTTTGTGCAGGTATGTATCGTGGAAAAAAAGAAGCTGCTTTATATTCCGCGTTGTGCAGAGAAACGAGGCGTGGCGTATTACAAAATTGCGTTTGCGTTTCAGGTTTAACTTCATCTACATGTGAGACTAGAATTAGAGGAACAATACCGAACTCTGTTTAATTTAATGAAATCTATTAGAGATTTAATAATTCATAGACCGCATATGTGGTACAAAACGACGGCTGACGTTTGAAGGAAATTTCTGATATATGTACATGATGATAACTTGCGAATTAAACCATTTTTTTAAGTAGTATTTATGTAACTCACCTATATAATTTCATTCCATCAACTTTTGTATCTAGATGTAAGTTTCTATCTTTTGTTTTGTATACAGTGAGGGTGCGTTCCGTTTCTCGCGCGATGCATTGTGCACATCGTGCGTGAAACTGAACGCACCCTGAGAGATACACTTTATTTGACTAATTTTTAAATGTACATAAACATTTTTATTAGCTTTATTCTCCCCCTATTGAAATACATGTAACTAAACTGTATTATTTGTTTCGAGAAAATTGACTTTTCGAAAATACCCAGACAGCACAAAGGTGAACGTAAGCTAATGGAGTATTCATTTGAAAGAATACCTGCAGAATTTGAAAACTGAATATCTGAAGAGTTTTTGAAGAATCAACTGTAATCAGTTTATCTTGAAGTATTCGTTAGAAATTCATCATGAAGCATACAACTTCTCCAATCATTGTATTCTTCTATGAATTCCTGGAGATTACAATTCAGCAAGGCAGAAAACTTGAATACTTTGCGAATTCACTGTGCTATGTGGGTAACGATTGTACGAATAACACTATAAGAAACTGTAACCAAGACGATTTCAACAGTAGCATATGTTTTACTACCAAGTGCTGAGAATATCTTCTAAAATCGTAAAGTTATTAATGTAACGAAAGAGTGATGGTAGTAATTTGTAACTTGATAACTTTGATTTTCTGTTATATCAAGATAACAGAACTTCCTGATCAACCAATTAACTTACTTGATTTATCTCGTAAGCGGCAATATTTAAAAAAAATTATATATTTTGTGTAAATATCTTCATCAAATACATTTGTATCATTATGTAGTAAATAGCTAAATTCTTCTGGCCTTGCATTTCTCCCACTCTCGTTCTCGCGTAATATCGCGACGTCTTTCATATCTCATCAATAATTACTTAATCTATCTCGTTACATAACATTCGAGAGAGCCGTTTATCCTGAAAGATATAACTTTATTCCATTTTTCTCTCGCTTTATATATACAATATAAAAAGATATAGCAGAGAAGGAACAGAGAAATGTAATTTGGTTTTCAGAATGTAGTAACTTTTTGGGGCTCGATCATGAATCTTTTCTTCTATCGAGCCCCCCGATCTCTTCCATTCGACAGACGATGTCCTTGCAGTCCTAATAGTATATCGTTCTCGTCTTGTGGAACGGAATGTGCTCGAGCTCTTGCGCGTGATCCCTCCGGTAGTCCCACAGGTAGTGGTCGATCAAGATCGCGTTGATGTCCGACGGATTCAGGCCCAGCTTAGAGTCGGCAGCGATCAATCTTCGCACCTCCTCGCACACCCGCTCGACCGCCTCGATCGAGCAGGCGCGTATCTCAACCTCCTCCCTGCCACCCTGCTCCAACGGCTCGTCGGACCTGAGCTTGCTCGTGAGCGAGTCGCTGTAGCGCATGGTGCCGTAATGCACGAGCACCTGCGGGATGCGGTAGTCGGCGAACATCGCGATGCTGTCGATGTCGCGGAACTCGCCGAGCCCGCGTCCCTCGTAGCAGGCCCAGATGTCGCCGACCAGTATCTGGGCTCTCTTGTAGATGCTGATCCTGTGCCCCTCGTACTCCGCCTCGTCCCGGTACGAGTCGAACTCCCTGACGATTAGCCGGAGGAGCTTCTCCGCGGAGCCCTCGCACGACTTGACACACTCCGCGAACGTGCCCTTGTACTTGTCCAGCAGCACCCGCCCGGCCTGGTGCAGACCGTTGATTCTCTCTTGCAGAAGCGGAATGTTGACGTTGTCGTCGCCGCGGAAAATGACCTCGGCGTCCCACTGCGTGATCTGCGAGTAATACCTGGGATCCCACATGGGCTTCCCCTCGTCGATGGCCCGGCTGACGGCGGCGCAGAACGCGAAGTAGCCGGTCTCGCCGTTGACCCGCCACTTGCTCGCGCCCGTCTCAGTCCAGAACGAGAAGTTGAGCGTGTCCAGCACGAATATCCAGTCCACCGTCCTGGCGTCGTCCGACTTGGGATGAATCTTGACCGACGAAAAATTGCCCTCGCGGATCTTACCGGTTTTCATGCCGTCGAGGACCGCCAGCGCCAGCCTCTTCACGCCCGCCTGCTCGATGAAGACGTGCTTCGCCAAGCCGGCGACCAGCTTCGCGGACTCCTTCGGCGTCAGGACCATGTCGGTGTCTCGGACCCTGTCTCCGGCTATCCCGAACGACTTAACAACCTTCTTCACGTGGATGCTCGGCGCGCTGTCCACCGATAATATTTCCTTCTTTTTTTCTGAGCCAGTTCTCTGTCTTCTTCCTGGGCACGAGTGACTTCGTGTACCGCTGCCTGATTTCTCTTCTTCTTCTTAGGATGTGTTCGAAAATGGATTTAGTTACTGCCAGTGAAAACGGTATAGTTGGTAGCAATGAAAATTACTGGTGCTGCGTTTTTCGCACGCCAGTAAAGTCAGTAAGGCTGGGAAATTGACCAATCACAGTTCATTATTCGACTTACGACATCCAATGTAGACCCAGCCTTACTGACTTTACTGGATGTGTTCGAAAATGGATTTAGTTACTGCCAGTGAAAAC